TGTCACTTAATTCCTTCAAGAACTCTGTCATCTTCTTCATTTTACAGATGAGAAAACAGAAGCTGAGAAGTGAGGGTTAAGTAACTGTCCCCAAGATCACATACTGAGAAAGTGGTAGAACCAGGATTTGAAGTCAGGTCTATCAGCATCTAACATCTGTCCTCTTAGCCACAACACTATACCATCAAGTTTTTCTTCACATGTGAGAATGTGTACAAAGACAGTTAGCAATAAATAGTTTCTTCCTTAACTAAAGGGTAAATGAGAAGCAGTGAAAAGCCAGTGACAAAACGAAGGAATCTGTACTTCATCATGATTGCAGAGAACCTAACGGACACTTTAACCTTGGGCTAAAGGGATGGGTGGAACTATGTTGGCATTCGCTGAATGACTAAGTGGGTTGCATGTGTCACTGTATGTGTGTGAAAATCAAAGGTTCAGATACACCTTTTGAGCCTTTTGAGAAAGTAACACACAATGATCACAACCGCTAGGATTAGTAAAATTGTACTCCAAATCACATCCTAGACATGTATGTACATATACACACTCTTACATACACATACCTATACTTGACAACCTCTTTTTTATGTCCAAACTTCTAGAAGTCTATTTTCTCTTTGAGACTGATATCAGTATTGATTATGCCCACATCATGGAATTCATCATAAACTCTGGAAGTTTCTACAAAAAAGTATGCTACTTCATTTTGCTTAGTAATATCTGCAGTACCCCTCAAATTCTAATGCCTGGAATTCATATTCTGCATACACAAGCTTAAGAAGTGTTGAACAATAGCATAACTATGACATTCAAGTTGAGAAAATTAGGTTTAAATTCTGATTCTGCTACCTATCAGCTGTGCATCCACAGTTATTTAAACCCTAGAAATCTGGGTTTTTATCTCTGTGAACTGTGGAGAATAACACCTACCTTGCAGAATTGTTGTGATATTTAGAGATAATGTTTGTAAGATTCTTATTGTTAGTTCTGGGTACAAAGTAGGCTTTCAAAAAAAATCACAGTTTTTATTATTCTAGGCAGAGGAAACAACATTTTTCTGCTCTGGAATGTCTTTTCTGTACTTTAACATCTGACACACTTATTATGTAAGTGTAAATTCAAAATGTCACATCATTTATTCATACAATTAACATTTATTAAGAAACTACTCTATGTCATTTACTACATCAAGGTGCTGCGAGAAGAAATTAAAAACATAGTTCCTAATCTCAAAGGGTGCCTACTTGAATGGAAAGATTAACAGAAGAGTGTTAAGTGATCAAATGGAGAGAGCTCCAGGGGGCTTTGAAGACCAGAGGACAGCCCACAAGGGGAATTAGAGAACGCCACCTGGAGAAAGTTACAAAGAGCTTCCCTTACAAAGATTACAAAGGAGGCTATGAAGAGTCTCCAAAATCCCCAGGCTAAGATCACTCTTTCTTGTGAACCTAACATGTGGTTTACATCTCTATCATAGCACGGTTCATTGTTTAATTACGTGGCTCTGCTGCTAGACAGGGAGCAACATGAGCGCATGGCCATGACTTTGACTAAGATGAATTTTCAGTATCCCCCCACAGGGTCTAACACAGAGAAGGGGCTTGATAAATGCCCATAGGAACTGAAGTAAATTCACACGGACTTCTGAAAGGACAGGTGATTAAATAGCATGAAAAACTAAAACCCAACATTGCAAGGGCAGAGGTAAGGCCAGTTGCTTGGGATCTAAGGGAGACAACAGGCAGAGAAAGATTACTTCATCTATTCTTGTTAAGGGAAGTTGAGATTCAGAACAAAGAAATGCCGAAGGCAAAAGAGTCGGACACTACTCTCCAGACACCTCACCTCTCTTTGCAGCCTATGATTTTACTCTGCTTTAGATCTGAGGTCCATGGCCCAAGATCATTTTTAGTGTGGAGCTTTTGGGTTGCAATGTAGTCTCTTCAAAATAGGGCACCCCTGACACAAGTAAGAGATATAAATTCGATTTCTGTAGGATTTCTCAGCAAAACTCTGAGTTTTTGTGAAGTTTAGAAAAAGTTAAAAATTCAAGACATGCCAATATGAAGCTCTTTTAGCCTCTGGTAATGACATCACTGGTTTTCTTAACTACATTACATTCTGTCTGGTTTCTCAACCTTGTGTTTGCCTTAAAGAGCTGGATTGGAAATCTCTTTGCCTAGATGGCTGATTTCATCTTTGATTTAGCAGCTTTAACTTCTACTTTCATTTTGGTTCAATATTAGATGTGCTTGTTCAATCCATTGTCTTGAAATCTTGCTGGATTACAAATAAGCAATTTCAACAAGAGTAACAAAAATGGACAGAACATAATGAAGAACCTCAGCTGTGACCTTTGTTTAACTTCCCACATGGTCCAAATGTGTCCTTGGTCCCAGTTGAAAGGTGAGAAAGAAGTATAAGTAGATAACTTTCACTAAAATTCAGTTGTTAATAGCAGCAGTAACAGGATGGGAGGCAGAAACAGAATCAGCATTTAGTGTGTATCTACTATGTGCCAGGCACTATCCCACGGCAACTTGACCAACTAAGTATCACCCTCATTTTTGCAAGGGAAGAAGTTCAGACTCAAAGAAGTTAAGATGAGCAATCACTTAAGGTCAAAAGCAACAAAATGATAGAGCAAGCTAGCATAGGAACCCATTAGGGGTCCTATAATAAAGTCCATACTTTATTCATTGTAAAATTTAGCTTAAATTAAATCAGAGAACTATAGTATAAACTAGAAGGGACAGAGGAAACCAAATATTTCAGACTCCATAATATATCACAACATAGAACTTCTTTTATTATCTTGAGAAATAATTAAATTTGTTTTCATGTTTGGGCATGCATGCATACGTGTGTGTGTGTGTGTGTGTCCAGCAACTTAGAGTTTCTGATCACTATACCGTTGGTATTGCAATAATGGAATTCCAAGACAAAATCTGATGCCTTCATTAACTTGTTTGGGTATTATCACCAGCATATTTATATCGCAATACCGAAGATAACTTGAGGATTTCCACTACTACTTCAGGGATATTCAACCTGAGGACCACTGATAAAATCTGAGACTACCCGGTGGCATCTCAGATCACACCTGCATGAATATAATCAGCTTTAGGTCTTTAACCTTTTTTGAATTTTTAATTTAGTTATTCTATCACGCATGATACAAGTTTCTTCTTATTAGTTTGAGCTTTCTCCTTTAATAAATCACTATGGTAATGACTGCGTCCCAGACCCTAGCATTTGGAAAAAGTTGCAGATTTTTAAGACTTTATTCTAATATAATCTAAGAAGGAGTTTCAATTTTGGAAATTGTTCAACTAGCCATAATTTTTGTTTCATTGGTTTTCCTTGGACTGAACATATTTTGTCAGTTTTTTGAAAATGACAATACGACTGTAGCATGTTCCGGATATCTGTTTCTGGCTAAAAAGCAACCTGCTGATTATGTTTATCTTATAAAACCAAAGAATCATTAAGGCTTCTATAAAGAAATCGTAAACAAATAATAACGGTTGTTAAATTATAACATGACAGTTTTAATATTTATTATAAAGGTTTGCTTGACCTCAATGGTTTTAAATTGTACGTGGAAGCATCTGACCAATTAATTCCAGGACACCGACGAAGTCATAGGGCTAATTACTGACACTAAAACCCAGTGCTCCTGGACTTCTAGGCTAATGTTTGTCTGCTCAACAGGGCTGCAAATGGGCCTTTGGTTGCTCAATGCCAGTGCCTCTCCCCAGAGCCAGACTTGCATCCTGAGCTCTCTTTCATCCAAATACATTCAATTCCTTCCTGTACTCAGCGAATCTCTCTCTGTCAGGGGTGTCATCACACTTCCTCCCTGGGTTTCCTCTTCCCTCCAGCCAGGGAGTGGAGTCTCCTCATCATCCACTATTCTATTACTCTCCTGAAGACAAACCTATGAGCTCTTTTAATTCTAAGAGTTTTCCTTGTGATGACTTTCCTTTATGGGAAAACAGGTCGGGGACCAAAATAACAAACAGGCTGAAATGGCAGAGCTGTTTGAGGTCTTAAGAGTCGCAGTCTATGGCCTCTTTTCCTTGAGACCATACTAGCGTAGTGGTGAAGAGCACAGACCTAGAGTCCAGCCTGCCTGGATATGAACCCCAAATTCTGCCTTTCAGCTGCCCATTCTTCAGCAAATTATCCAGCCTCTCTGTGCCTCAGCTTCACCATATGTAAAATGAAGATAACAATAGTACCTTTTTTTAAGGGTTATATTGAGGATGAAAGAAGTTAATTCACATAAAGTATTTAGAATAGTGCCATACTCATAGTAAGCACTCAATAAGTATTAGCTATTATTAGCTATTATTGATTCCTCTTTGAGATGCCCTTCTCAGTTGCTCTTCACTTTGATCTTTGGAGGTGGGCTTCTGAATCCATCCTTAAACCAACTCAAAGCCTAAAGATGAAAAAGCTGCACATTTCTGGGTGGGAGTCAGCCAGTCTGGAGTGCTCCAGACTTGGTATACCTCTGCACACTAGCCTGGCCTTGACTTATCCCTTGTGGGTGCTTCTTCAGTGAGGCAGCATATTTTAAAAGGCTCTAGGGCCAGACTGCCTGGGTGGAAACTCTGGATCCATTCTCCTTCTTCCCAGCTGGATGACCTTGAGCAAGAGCTAAATCTCGCTATGCATAATAATAGCACCTAACTCATAGAGTTGTTATGAGGATTAAATTAGTTCAATATTTGTAAAGTTCTTAGAACATTACTTGCAAATAATAAAGTCTATATAAGAGGTGGTTAAATAAACACCATTTCCAATTAGGAGAAGTAGAGATGTCAATTTTTGTCAAAGAATGAAATTGTATGTGTGTGGGTGGGTTAAGAAAGACTGATTTCTTCTCAGGGCTTTCTTTTTTCTTCTTATATCCTTTTCCCTTTTATTCCAGTGCCATTATTCTTATTCTCACACATGTGTGTGACCACAGAAATTTTTGCTTTTGATCCTAAAAATGATGCTTAGATGCCACAAAGTAGGTGGCAATACCTTAACCATGGGTGTGTTGTCAGGCCCAAGGTCTTCATCCATCCTTGTCAGGGGAGAGGTAACCTTCTCTCCTTTTGTACAACATGCCTTTCTAGGCTTTTAGAGGAACATGAACTACTAAAATTTACTCCTAAATTACTACTAAACTTCCTTCAATGAATTTCAAATTAACAGTAGTCACATTCACTCAAGCAATTAATGTGGCAAAGTCCGAAAAAATAATTCTTATAATAAACTAAAGCCAACACCTACAACCTTGTATATAAAACATTTTTCCTACTTAAATTGCATAGGAATAAATTTATATGGAGTATAAATCAAGTCAAAATAAGTGTTTCAATGTAATGAGAACGTTTATAAGATGATAAGAGATGTACTTTAAGTAAATTTCTGAAATCATCCATAGATTCAAAAAATTTCCGGGGCCGGCTCTGACGCTGAGTGGTGAAGTTCGCACACTCCACTGTGGCGGCCCAGGGTTCGGATCCTGGGCGCGGACAACGGCACCGCTCGTCAGGCCATGTTGGGGCAGCGTCCCACATCCCACAACTAGAAGGACCTGCAACTAAGATATACAACTGTGTACAGAGGGTTTTGGGGAGATAAAGCAGGAAGAAAAAAAAGAAAAGATTGGCAACAGTTGTTAGCCCAGGTGCCAACCTCTAAATAAAAAAAAATTTCCTACTGAGTACCTACTATGTACCAAACAGTGTGTTAAGTGCTGGATGAACAATAGGCGGACAATAGAGAATATTTGCCCTTCTGTTGCTGACATTCAAGAGATCACGCAGATAGGAATGAAGAACGATAGTGTCCCTCGACAATAAAGCAGGAGAGAGGACACATGCCTGCCTGCTGTGCCACCTGCAATACACGACTGGACCTCACCGGTCCCCTACTCTACATAGAGAATTTTACCTCCCTGGTTGGAAGGAGGGAGAGGGAGAGACTCAGTGCTTTTCTTTTTCAAACATAATGTACATTGGATTACTGGTAAATGCATGCAACTTTGTAACAGCCCTGAGAAATGATACAAAGAAAAGAAAGGACAAAGTCAAGAAGGACCAGAGAGCGCCAGCAGATTGATTTAGCTATTTTGAAAGAATCAAAAGAATTGACCTGCATGAAGAAGAGTACTTAAAATAATGCTACAGTTTTTTTTTTCTCCAAGAGGATACTCTAACCTGGTGGTTAAACAGAGTGAAATATCCTGCATTCTAAACTTAATTCCACTCTACTCAATCTCTGGCCACAGCTAAATCGATTTCTTTTCCATCTCCATATATACATCTGTTAACACATTTTCAGGTAGATTCTCTGAGCATCTCTGGGTATGCAGCTGGCACTTCTGAGGCTGTGCGTTACTTGAGGGCCAGGATGGGAGGTGGCTAGACTGCAGAAGCAGTCTTTTCCAGCAGGCCTGCTCAGGAATTGGGTCCTTTTAGTAAGTTCACTGAAGCTGTAACTTTCTAAAGGAAACCTCTCCAGACCAAAAAACAACAAATGCGGCTTCTGTAACTTCTTTCCTTAGAAACAGAAAAAGTAGTTATAATCATTACAGAAGGAGTTTAAGCATAAGATGTAGAGCTCATTATCTGGCTTTCTACTTCCCAGGTGTGTTACCTTAATTTCCTCACCTGCAATGCTAAGGGACCAAATAGATTTCACTTGCAGGAAAAAATCATAAGGCAGGTTAGTGAAATCACATTGTACAATAAAAAATGTTTTATATAATTATTATTCCCTCAAATCTGGAAGAGTGTTTCTCTGAATGTGCAAGAACCTTTCCCTTATAAAGTAGGGGTCTCAAACATACTTTGAGAACCAATTTATAGCACTGGTCACTTTGGTTTTTTTGTTTGTTGTTAGGTCAAGACTTCTCTGTAGAAGAATTGGCTTACAGGGTTCTCAACTTTTCCTTCACCACTTGGCACAACAGCAAAAACACCTTAGAGTCAATGGGCATAGATGGCTGCTTATAAGGGAATGCCAACTGTTTCTTAAATATGACAAGAATAAGAATGATAAGAGCAACCAGGTACTAAAGCCCTACGAGGCATTGTGCTGGGTAGTGTTATGTGTTACCTCTAATTCTTATAACAGCCCATAGAAATGTTGCTAATAATTCCCATTTTATAAGTGAGCAAATAAGCTCAAAGGGTCCGTATCTTGCCCAGAGATATCCAGCTAGTAAATGGTAGACTGGGAATTTAAACCCAAATCTACCTGTTTCTAAAGGTTGAGTGTTTGCTTCCTGACTAACTGGCCTACTATGAGTATCGATGCAGTTATATTGAGACTCAGATAACAATTCCTGAGTTTTCCTGGGAGCCAGAGGTGTTTCTAGAAGGCCCATCTGCACACTCTAAGTCTATCCTATTGCTTTACCAAGAATGAGACTCAACCTGATTCAGAAGAAAGAGAGCTTCATATTCACGTGAGCATCTCCCAGGGTGAAAGAGGTTCCTTCACCTCCTCCAGCAATAAGAGACTACCTTTATTTCCCTGTCTGGCAAAGTTTTCTTTCAGAGGAATGTCTTGAAAATGTAGGGTGAAAAAGCACAAAAAAACATATGTAAGATGTCTTATGGGAATGAAGTAATTTTTTAAATAGACCAAGAAAACAAAATGGAGAGAGTAGAAAAAAAAAATCATTTTTCCAGGTACAAAGCAATGAGGGTAATGTGGGTACCTGAGAAAGATGTAAGTAAAGGAGGACATTTGGATCACTAATCCAAAGGCCTCCCTCATACGTTGCCACTGCTTTGAGACATGTAACTTCTCTTGAATTTGACACCTGCAGTGCCAAGGAAACACATGGCTTTCATTTATAGGAAAATCATACTGCAGCAAATTCTTGATTATCTGTACCCCTACAGAGTTGCATTAAGGGAGTTAATACCCTAGCATGGAAAGTTTTTACCCACCAGCTTCAAAACCATGAGCCTACTCTCCAGACACTTCTACTTTCAAACTGGATAAAGAGGAAGCAGTCAGGAATAAGAAAGAGGGAAGTGGCTTTGCAAGCAAACAGGCTTAGTTCACATCCTTGATCCCCTAGTAGCAGCTATCTGTTTTTGGGCAAACTTTTGAACTTCTCTAAACTGCAAAATACGATCTATAAAATGGTGGTTATAATACCTACCTCTTGGTGTTTTTCTAAGGGTTAAATGAAATAATATATGTAAAATAGCTCTCAAAACCTGAGTTGGGCCTAAATGAAGATTAGTGATTTTTTCCCAAGGCCTTAGGAGTAGATTGCATCCCTTCTTCTGAGAGTTTGAGAAGGATTCCCATCTTACACAAATGTAAGTCTGAAAGTGAATATCCAGAATTATCTTTAGTAACGTCTTTGCATAAAATGGTGAATGTCACAGGTGAATGTTTCTCATACTTTATTTTATTAGTTGCATGTGCTGCTGTGGGAGCATTTCCACCACTGAGATGGACATAGGAAATCTGGGTTCCAGCATTCAGTCCAACTCAGTGAAGAATACATGATATGACAAATTGCCATATTTCTTCTACAAAGACAATGGTGTGAGACAGCTTCCTGAAAATTTCAAGAAAACTGTCAGCTTTGAAATCTCTAAAGCTTTGGGTTTTTTTAAAAATCATTTTTTGTTTTTTTGTTTTCTGTGGAGAACAAAGCTGTGGTCCTTAAAAATCCCCAGGATTCTCTAAGCATCACAGGCTTGCAGTGGTTAGCAAGAACCTATGTGGCTTCAGATACTCTATGCACATAGTAAATGGAAAAAAATAAGCCCTTCCCCATAAAAACCAGGTTCTTTAAATGCAAATGACTCAGTATAGATCATTTGACACTACAGGGTCCAACCACCTCTGTGGCTGTAAATGGAAAAGGGGACTTGTCAAAAGCATTTGAACCAAGCACAAATAAAGGGTGCCAGTTTAAAGAAGTTGGCTATTAAGACAGTGTCCATGGGTAAGCAAAGAAAGCAGCTTCTTGACAACTTCTTTGGATCTTAATTCTTTGGAGTTTACTTGACATCTTTGTCAGGACCAGGCAGGGGGCCAGAACAACTTCTGCAGACTTCTCATCACCCAGGAGACAGACACAGCATAAATCACTTGGATGCTTCAGTCTGACAGAAACAACCAAAATCCAATGCTTTATAATATATAAACCAGTATCCAGGAAACCAGTGGCCTGGAAGGTCAATTTTAGTTTAAAATCAACAAATAAACAAAAACCTCAGAGCACAGGATTTTATATTAAAAAAAAGGAAAAACCAAAAATAAATCTATTAGTCAATCCCTGCTGAGTACTATATACAGAGGGTTTCGTTTAATTAAAATCATCAGACCTTTACTAAATGTATCTGTAATAAGCACTATGCTAGGCTCTGAGATTCAAAACATCTGGCAGATATCTAACGAGAAGGCATCTTTTCTTCACGTATTAGTAGAACAAGTCATAACTAAGGTAATCTCTGTCATTGAGGGGCTCATAATATACATCTTTGCGTGTGACCTGTGTGTGTAGGTACTGAGAGAGAGAATGATACAGATCAATATTAAACAAACAAGTTAATAAATTCTAGAGATACTTATAGCCCTGGTGGTCTAGTGGTTGAGATTTGGAGCTCTCACAGCCACGGCCTGGGTTTCATTTCCTGGTCAGGGAACCGCACCACCCATCTGTCGGTTGTCATGCTGTGGTGGCTGTGAGTTGCTGTGATGCTGAAAGCTATGCCACTGGTATGTCAAATACCACAGGGTCACCCATGATGGACAGGTTTCAGTAGAGCTTCCAGGCTAAGACAGACTAGGAGGAAGGACCTGACCACCCACTTCTGAAAAAATTGGCCATGAAAACCCTATGAATAGCAGTGGAGCATTGTCTGATACAGCGCTGGAAGATGAGAGGATGGAGCAAAATGACCAGGCAGGGTTCCATTCTGCTGTGCAAAGGGTCACTAGGAGTCAGAATTGACTCCACAGCACTACAACAACAAAGATACATTTATAATGTATCCTATTATTAATACATAATTTATATCTACTATACATAACACATGTAATAAATATTTATATATTAATAGCATAAAAAGAGCTATAAAA